ACACACACAGAAAGCACCAGCCACAGGGGTTGGAACACAGGGGTTGGACATGTTAATGAAGTGCCGGCTAGGAATAAAACCAAGAGGGGGAATCTGTGCCCGCACTTATCTCTTACCCACCACACCACTAGACTCCTGGGAGCAATGAGTGCGGAGCAGAATGTACCCTGATAACAAGAGTGAACAAGGAGGTGTTTTCTTTTTCTCTCTTTTTCATCATATCGTATTTTGTTGCGTTTTGGCAAAAGCTTATGGGACAAAGTAAGCTCTCAGGAGACTATTTCTAGGCAAATTGTTTGCTGACACAGTTACATTTTCCACACTGTGTCAAAAATCTCTTTCACGGTGTGGTTCACTGAGCAAGCCGGCCTTCTGCACAATTATTTAGAAGCAGAGGGTGGCAGATGGAGTGGAAAGGGTGGGGACAAGGTTTCTATTGGAAAACAAAAGCAAGCAATCGCCTCAAGTTTGACCGGGGCAACACTGAATTTTCACATTCAGGTCTTCCTTCCAAAAGGCAGTGGACAAATAGCTAAGAGGAGCCGTTTCTAATCTCATTCCCTCTAGAGCAGTGGTTTGCCAACCTTCCTAATGCCATGACCCTTAAATACAGTTCCTGATGTTGTGGTGACTCCCCAACCATAAAATTATTTTCGGTGCTACTTCATCACTGCCATTTTGCTACTGTTATGATTCTGGCTGGTAACCCCTGTGAAAGGGACTTTCAACCCTCAAAGGGGTCTCGACCCACAGGCTGAGAACCCTGCTTTAGAGCAAGTAGTTCTCCAGGTGTGGTTCCTGAATGAATAGCATTCACATTACCTGGCAACCTGTTAAAACTGGAAGTACCTGGGCCCACCTGACCTCAAACGTAATGACTCCGTAATGGAAGAAGGCTGGGCCCGGGCCCGGGCTGCCATCTGTATTCTTACAGCCCTCCAACTGATTCTGCTGCTCGACATCAGACGCCTGTACCCAACGGTCTGCAGGCCTGGCCCAGCCTGCTGCCTGTGGATAGTGTGTTTTTAGAACACAGCCACACTCGTTTGTGTGTGACCTGGCCATCTACTTCCATGACACGAGGCACTGGAAGTCCCATGGAGCACAGTGTCCTTGGAGACATGCGAGATTACCAGGGGTCGGTGAGACGGTGAGGGCAGCTGGTTTTCCAGGGCTGAGTTGAGCAGGGGCGGGAGAGGCCATAGAATAAGGTGACCAGACGTCCCGCTTTTGGAGGGACAGTCCTGAGTTTTAACAATTTTTCCCCGCGTCCCGCGGCATTTTAAAAAAGTCCCAATTTTTGGAAAGAATGCACGACAAGCTAGGGGATACAGTTTTTGGCTGCCATGTGGCTATTTCTCCAGGATATGAGTTTTATCAATGGTGTCCCGCTTTTGTCCCACTTTACCAATGTTAAAATCTGGTCACCTTACCATCGAACCAGCAAAACCTAAATAAAACCTAGACTTTCTGGACATTTACAGAAAAAGTCTGCTCTGACCTCGATGGGTGTTTTTCCAATGGAGAAAAAAACCCCAAAACAAACCCATGGCTTCCATGCCCTCTTCTCCACAGACCAGGTCATCTGTCTTTGTGGTGCCTCTATCCCTGGAAGGCTCCGATGACAACTCCAGATGGTGTGTGTCCTTCCCGACAATGGTAAGAGCTCCATCTTCTGTCCCGGTGGGTGCGGTGAACGATGGCTTCTGGGTGGGTGAGTGTAATGCTCAAGATACCAGCTGACTCGGCATGAGCGATCAGAGATGCCCTTTCCAGACTCCCACCCTGACATAGAGCTGGCCTCCGTGAGATGACCACCACCCTCAAGAAGCTGGGTACCCAAGACTCTGACGGGAGAGGGAGGGCAGCAAAGATACAAAGCCCCTTTGCAGGGAATGCAGAAAAACCCACATGGTCTTGCCCGGGCATTTATTAGGAGGCCACTATCGAAAGGCACTGTTCACAAAATTACTGGAATGCAATATAAAAGAATGCCGCCCAACACAGTGCCAGCTCAAACATCCTGCTCCACACACATAGGCGCCTGCTAGGAAAACTAGGTTTCTATTCTCCCCTCCGATCTGACAATTCGCCAAACTGTTAGATATATCAGAGATTCCCTGCAATTTAGAGAAATGAATCCAAACTGTACAGAGTTCATTAGCACCAGTGGGGAATCACCAACTCTAGTTAAAGGGCTAAATCTAGGCTGGGAAATACTAAATATTCAAATCGTGTTTCAGCAATTAGGTAATAATTCTAATGGTGAGGTCTAGAAAAATTCACCAGCTAAGCTAAAAACAAAGGCTTAAAATTTAGCAGGGCTTCGTTCCTTCTGCATGGAGCTCAGTGGCCTAGTGTGGGTGACACATTTGGTCGCTAACCACAAGGTCAGTAGTTTGAACCCCTCAGCTGCTCCATGGTTAACAAGAGGAGGTTTTTCCTGCTTAGTTACAACCTCAGATGCGGGCAGCCCTACAGGGTGGCAATGAGTCAGAATCAACCTGATCGGAGTGGAGTCTGTTTCTTTTGTTGTTTTGTACCTTCTGTAGAATAATTCTAACATCCTACCAAACAATGTGCTCTACGGTCTTAAAGATCCTTCTTGTGCAGGCATTTGACATACTTTTCTTTGGTTCTTTCTCTAGCTATAAGCTCTTCAAGTTAGTGTGATCTAATTTCTTTAACTCTCCCACTACAGTTCTAGATCTTGACCTTTATTCGTTTTTACCCAAACGTGCTGTGGTTTGGCAGAGCAAGGGGAAGAAGTGCGATGATGTTACAGACATATAAAAAACTGTGATGAATGATTGTCTGTTCCTTCTCCAGGAGACACGAGATAACACCCTTCTTGGGAGTTCTGACTCCTCTTGAAGACAGATATTCTAACAGATTCTTAAAAACAAACAAACACATTTTCCATAGACTTCATAGTTCAGTGCAACTAAACCAGTATAATCCGTGATGAAAAAAGAAATCCACACAAGAGCAGCAGTTCTCTGAATTCTCAAAGGAATGTGAGCTGCTGGAAGCTAATCAAAAGAACAGGGAGAACTGAAAAACCAGGCTGTACCTAAAAGTGAAAGTCAGCAAAACGGTCTCTCCCTCCCCAAAGCCTCAGAGCCCTGCAGTCATTTTTGTTTGTTTGTTTGGTTTGGATTCAACACGGACAGCGTGTACGATTTAAAAAGGATGTACTTTCTAAACCGAAAAATCAAACTCACTGCCGTTGAGTCGATGCTGACTCAGACCGACCCTACAGCACAGGGTAGAACTGCCCCTATGCGTTTTGGAGACTAACTCCTCATGGGAGTAGCAAGTTTCATCTTTCTCCCTTGGAACTGGCTGGTGGTTTCGAATCCCTGACCTCATGATTAGCAGCCCAACACGTGACCACTATGTCACTAGGGCCATATGGGGATCCTCTGAACGACAGAGAGGGCAGAAGTTCAACACGCTTCAATGACCTCACACTCAGTTTAAAAAGCAACAACCAAGAGACACCTTTACAAACATCTGCAATTGTGATCATGCATGTTGGTTCCAATGACCGCCAGGTTTTCTAAACGAGACACTTCTCTATGGCAGCGGGCAGTGTGGTTGATCAAGAAGATAAGCTACCTTCCAGACTCTGTAGACAAAGACGTCTAGATTTCTCTCTAGTAAAAATGATCTAAGGTGCCATGTACTTGTCATTTGTCAGTTACCGCAACAGCGTGCGCTGTCAAAGACCGAGGGTCAGCGCGTGAACAAGGCCGAGAGGACAGGTTAGCTCCAGAAAGGAGCTGAAGAGAGAAATGAATGAAGACACATGGAAGGGGGGTGGCCGTTTCAGTGGGACCTCTATGTGGCTTAGCCTGGGAGGACAGTAAATACGAAGTCCACATCACTAGTGAGCACCACACACGACGTTTCAGAAAGAAAGCAGTCAATGCCAGGAGATCCAGTGGACAGAAGGTGTTTCTGCAAGTAGGCAAGTCTCTGGGAAAGCCATAGAATCACAGTTAGGCCCAAACCCCACTGTCATGCATAACTGATGCCAACACGAACCCGCAATTGGTATGGGAAAACTTAACCCTTCGCAGCTCGCCATTTCTGTGTGGGAAGTCATTCTTTCTCTGTCACTGGGGCCATACTGTTCTGCTACTCTCACCTGCTTAGGCAGCGCGCTCATTTAGGTGGGCTAGAAAGAAGGTCCTGACAGTGCGCGGGCAACAGGTAGCCCACAGCATTGACGTTCCACAGCAGCAAGCGTTCCTGGGTTTCTGGTCACTGTCATAACACAGCGCCTCCCAAACTACCCTCGTTGCTGTCAACTCGATTCCGACTCATGGCGGTTCCACGGGACAGAGTAGAATTACCTCCTCAGGGTCTTTACAGAAGGAGACTGACACACCTTTCTCCCATGGGACGGGTGGTGGGTTTCACCCCGATCTTTCGGTTTGCAGCCAAGTGCTTTAATGTCTGCACCACTAGGGGCACACCTGTGGCACACCACGGGCACTTGATAACAGCTGCTGAATACTTAGGAGTCAAACTGGAAGATGCCTGGCAACTTATGGCAACTTCTTCTAAGAAAACTGTGAAAGTTGTTTATTCTTTAAAAATATTGATGCATTCACAATATGTTTATGAAGGCCAGGAAGTAAGATTTGGAAGTAGTGAGGTTTACAATGCTAACTTCTAGGGAGGTGGAAGTTAGACCTGCAAGGATGGATTAAAGACCGTACAGCAGACAAGGAAAACACTGAAAGAGATGACATCTTTGTAGAGAAACATTCAAATGAAAGAAGGGCACACATCGTGGGCTCAGCATCACCTTCCAGCAAAGCCCTGGTTATGGCACCGGAACTCCCTCTAAAAAAGGACTCACCATGAACCATTTGAGCCAGGGTCGTGGTGTTTGTAAAGCTAAGCAGGCAACATGTAACGATTCCCATGTTTACCATTGACCTTCCAATCTCTTTGTCTACCAACAGAAGGATGCCATCATGAATTACCTGGTGCCGGGCTCGACTCTGGTCCAAAAGCTGCCGGGATTGAAGTTTTTGTTGTTCAAGTTGCTGCAGAGCAAAATGGAGCTGGTAGCTGCCCGCGGTGGGGTGATACTTGTGCTGGGGGACCACCCCCGTGGCCTTGCTGTACGCGTTATTCTCTACCTCTCCCTCCCAGGCGAAGCCACCTGTCTGGAGGCTCCTGCGGAGAAAAGAAAGCGGATTTCTTAGAGTGAGTGTGTGGGCAAGCCAAAGCCGAGAGAAACGTTTCGGGTCTTTTCCCTTTCTGGAACTAAATCCAGTTGGACATTTTCATTCTCTTTGCATGAAAAAAAAAACACATCTGATTCCCCTATCAGGTTGTAAGCTCATCAAAAGAACTAAGAAAAAGATCATAGTCTCCCCCCCACCAAACCTTTGCTCTCCCCTCTAATCCTAACCTTTTATCATAGGGCCTGGTCCATGGCCAGTCAGTAGACAGTGAATACTGGCTGAATGTTAACTACTGAGATAGCAAGCTCATCAGCCTGTGATTCACGCAAGAATCTCCACAAGGAGCCGAGAGAGCTTCAAAGGAAGAGGAGTGGGTTAAAGGACTGCAGAAACTGACACACGCTCACCAGAAAAGCATACACAATGAAGAACCTTATAAAGGGTCTCATGGTGAACCCCCTTACCCCAAGCTGAGGCAAATTACATAGTGCCCAACTTAAGAAAAATATTCATGGTGATTTAAGTCACTGGGCTGGTCTTCTCTCCTTTGCGAGTTCCTTTTGGAGTGACTGGACCAAACCCCTCCCTCTCCTGACTCCCAGCCCCCCTTCCTTATTATCCCCGGTAGAGCCTCCCATCAGTTCTTGTCTCCCAGCATCCACTCCTTCTGAGCTTCACAAACTGGGAAACCCACGAGAAACAGTAAGAAATGAAAACAAAACAAAATGGCAAGAAGAAAAGATAGTAATATAAAGATCAAAAATACAAATAAAAGTATATGAAAGAAAAGACCACCACCAATATTTAAAAGGCCAGAGAAGAAATTTATATCCTGGAGTAGGCAAGAAGGGGCTCTTGAGCCTAGAGCATTCAGGTTGGGTCAAGAGGGAGATCAACGGACCACGCATGATATTATACCATGGTTCCACCCACCATTGTCAAGTCTACAATCATCGCTGTCTGACATGAAGCTGTTCCAGTCCCTGGCCTGTGGCTCGAGACTCTCCAGGTGGATTTGGGGGCTCCCACTGTTCTCCATACCCTTCTACAAATGGGGTGTTCACAATTCAGCTCTGATACTTTTCCCTTCCTCATGTGTGGGTTTTGTTACTGTCATCTTTGGATCACACAAGCAGGTGTGCTTCTTCTGTGTGGACTTGGCTGTGAACTTTGCTCATCTGCTTCCATGGTTTGGCTTGTTCAATCATATAACAGCACAATGACATACGCTCTTAACTAATCTTCCTGGAGAACGGGGTTTATGTATAAATTCTTTTGAGTTTGACATTTGATTTTCAGTGGTCTCTTGAAAGGCCTCAGTGTGAAGGCTGTTTTAGAGACACGATCCTTCCCCAGAGGCAGCCACTGATGGAGTAGGACTAAGTCCCTAACTACCTTCAGAAAACAGGGACATCGCTCACAGACTACAGGAAAGCAGGAGTGACCCATGGTCAGGGAAGGAGGGAGGAGCCGGCAGCTCCTGCGATCTCTTTTCTCATTGGTAAGGGAAGGGCAGGCTTTCTGCCAGGAGGAAGGAGGACAGGGCAGTGATGGAAAACAGTATCCGGATATAAACAAAAAGACAGTCCAAGACAGGAGTGGGCTGATTCCATGAGCAAATGAACACCGGGGAGGGGCAGGTGAAAAAGCAGAAACTGCCTGGCACAGCCACCCTGGAAGTTCCTCACCCGCTTAGGCAGATGCTGCTCTGAGTCTAGAATGAAACTAGAGAATATTGTAAAGATAATTGTACCAACTGTCAAAAAACGCAACAACTATAATGCTATATCCACTCTCAGCTCACTGCTGGTTATGGGAGAAGTTTCTAGCCACCAGGAGCAATCTCAGGTCAGTGATTAGAGAAGCGTAGGGCTTATTATGTAACTGTGTAGTTCACAGGGGACAGAATTCCCGCACTGGCTAGCTGGATTGGTTTTATCTTCCCAAAGTTTCGCCATGAACAACTATTTCTTGGAGTTGTTTACTTTAATGCCTCCCATTGGACGGCAGAAATTGGAGATGTTAAGGATGTGTCCTCTTGTCTGGGGTGATCTGGGACAGTTTGTCAGGTATGTGGACATGAAGCATAGATCTGTGAATGTGCAGGAGGTAGGGCTGTGGGTAAGAGAAGCTCAGTTGAGGGACTTTGGCTCAGAGAAGATTCCTTCCCTCCAACTGCACACATATTGAACAGACTGGAACATTGTACATTTTTATAGTCAAAGCTGGTTTTAATCTCATCGGTAATATAAACCCTGTCTTGACATCACAGAAGATAGTTTCTCAAGCAAGGATGGGCTTTTAGTGAAGAGGCAGGAATTTTTACGGTGCATGGTGGGGTAGGGGCAGGGTAGACTCAGCAGTGTAAGGCGGAGGGCGTGTGCCAGGAGGAGAGTGCTTGCCTTTGCCCTGCCGTGGGAGTGGCTTGGGCCGCAGGATCTTACCAGGAAAGCACAAGTTGTTGGGGTTTGTCACCTGCAGGTGTTACCATGGCTGACCCTGAGAAAGCCATGTGGACAATAACTTGGGTTTTCTTGCTTTCTGGTGCCTGAGTTTAAATATCTACATATTCTATCCTAAGGAACTCCTATGATGCTATTTTGAGGACTCCTCTGTGACCGGCCCAAGCCGTGGGTATTTCAGCCACTGCAGGTGGATGCAGAGGATGGCGAGACTTTGTCTCATGTACTTTTTTTTAAAAATTAAAAGATCATTTTATTGGGGGCTCTTACAGCTTTTATAACAACTCATACATCAATTGTATCAAGCATATTTATACATACGTTGCAATGATTATTTTCTAAAAATTTACCTTCTATTGAGCTCTTAGTATCGGCTCCTCTTTTATCCCGCCCTGCACTCCCTCCACCCTCCTAACCCTTGGATAAAGGATAAATTATTATCCTTTTCATATCTTACACTGACTGCTGTCCCCCTTTCCCCGTGGTTCTGTTGTTTGTCCCCCTGGGGTGGTGGTGGTTATGTGTTGATCATTGCAATGGTTCCCTCTTCCTCCCTTCCTCTCCCCACCTTCCCCTTACTCTCCTGGTATCGCTACTCCCATTCCTATTCCTGGATTCTGTGTGTTGTGAGCCCTTATCTCTTATCTGTAGCTGTGCACATTCTCCGGTCTAGCCCACAGTGAAAGGCAGGACTGGGGACATGATTGAGGGTGGTGGCGGCGAAGCCTCAAGTAACCAGGGGAATACTGTGTGTTTCATCGGAGCTATACTGCGCCCTGGTTGACTCATCCCTTCCTTGTGACCCTTATGTGAGGACATGCCCCATTGTCTACAGCTGGGTTTTGGGTCTCTGCTCTGACCTACCCCATTCTCAACAATATGTTGGTTTCCTCCCCCCGCCCCACCCTGTTTGTTTTGGGTCTTCTGATGCCTGGGACCCCGTCCCGTCAACACCTCACGATCACACAGGCTGCTGTGCTTCTTCCACATGGGCTTGTTGCTGCTGTTTGTTAAACTTCAAGCCTTTACAACCAGAGATGCTGTATCTTTTGATAGCCGGCACCATCTGCTTTCTTCACATTGACTGACGTACGCATTTTGTCTTTAGAGATCGTGCCAGGAAGGTGAGCATCACCCACCCAGACAGAGGATGGGTTGTGTCTGCACAGGATTGGGAGCGTGCATGCAGCCTCCACCACGGGGCCCCCAACCTTGAGGGCAACATGGAGCCATGCATGCAGAGTGGGCTACAGGGCCGGCCCCAATCAGAGCCAGACTGACCGCTCCCTAGAAGTACGTGCGGCAGAGGACATCACTATGTCTCATGTCCTTTGGACATGTTACCAGCCGAGACCAGTCCCTGGAGAAGTTGGTAAAGGGCAACTGCACAATGCCAGGGACGCAGGGTACGACTGACATTTAGCACACGGCCGCCGAGCATGCTACATGGCCAGCTACATCATGCTTGGTAAAGCAGCGGGCAGTGACAAGGAAGATGGCCCTTGACAAGATGAATCGACACCTTGGCTGCCAACCATGGGCTCAAATGCGAAACCAACGATGAGGGCGGCCCAGGACCGGCGGTGTCTCGTCCTGCTGTACACGGTGTCGCTCTGGGTCGGAACCACCGACGGTGCCTTACAACAAAAAGGAGTCTGTGGGGTTAAGGGGAAAGAGGGAACCCCACAAAACATCACAGGTTCGGAAGGCGCAATTGTACAGCGATAATAAGTAGAGATTATAGTAAAGTCATAGAGAGCATGAGAGTTAAAGGATGGAGTCAAGTAATGGAGTCAGACGCAATTCATGGTAGC